AATGTTCAGAAGGTGTTCAGTGTGACCTCTGGATGAATGTTCAGAAGGTGTTCAGTGTGACCTCTGGATGAGTGTTCAGAAGGTGTTCAATGTGACCTCTGGATGAGTGTTCAGAAGGTGTTCAGTGTGACCTCTGGATGAGTGTTCAGAAGGTGTTCAGTGTGACCTCTGGATGAGTGTTCAGAAGGTGTTCAGTGTGACCTCTGGATGAGTGTTCAGAAGGTGTTCAGTGTGACCTCTGGATGAATGTTCAGAAGGTGTTCAATGTGACCTCTGGATGAATGTTCAGAAGGTGTTCAGTGTGACCTCTGGATGAATGTTCAGAAGGTGTTCAGAAGGTGAGTGTTCAGAAGGTGTTCAGTGTGACCTCTGGATGAGTGTTCAGAAGGTGTTCAATGTGACCTCTGTGAATCAGAAGGTGTTCAATGTGACCTCTGGATGAGTGTTCAGAAGGTGTTCAATGTGACCTCTGGATGAGTGTTCAGAAGGTGTTCAGTGTGACCTCTGGATGAGTGTTCAGAAGGTGTTCAGTGTGACCTCTGGATGAGTGTTCAGAAGGTGTTCAGTGTGACCTCTGGATGAGTGTTCAGAAGGTGTTCAATGTGACCTCTGGATGAGTGTTCAGAAGGTGTTTAGTGTGACCTCTGGATGAGTGTTCAGAAGGTGTTCAGTGTGACCTCTGGATGAGTGTTCAGAAGGTGTTCAATGTGACCTCTGGATGAGTGTTCAGAAGGTGTTCTGTGATGAGTGTTCAGAAGGTGTTCAGTGACCTCTGGATGAATGTTCAGAAGGTGTTCAATGTGACCTCTGGATGAATGTTCAGAAAGGTGTTCAGTGTGACCTCTGAATGAGTGTTCAGAAGGTGTTCAGAACCCTCTGGATGAGTGTTCAGATTCAGTGTGACCTCTGGATGAATGTTCAGAAGGTGTTCAGTGTGACCTCTGGATGAATGTTCAGAAGGTGTTCAATGTGACCTCTGGATGAATGTTCAGAAGGTGTTCAGTGTGACCTCTGGATGAGTGTTCAGAAGGTGTTCAGTGTGACCTCTGGATGAATGTTCAGAAGGTGTTCAATGTGACCTCTGGATGAATGTTCAGAAGGTGTTCAGTGTGACCTCTGGATGAATGTTCAGAAGGTGTTCAGTGTGACCTCTGGATGAATGTTCAGAAGGTGTTCAAGGTGTTCTGGATGTGACCTCAGAAGGTGATGACCTCTGGATGAATGTTCAGAAGGTGTTCAGTGTGACCTCTGGATGAATGTTCAGAAGGTGTTCAGTGTGACCTCTGGATGAATGTTCAGAAGGTGTTCAGTGTGACCTCTGGATGAATGTTCAGAAGGTGTTCAGTGACCTCTGGATGAATGTTCAGAAGGTGTTCAGTGTGACCTCTGGATGAGTGTTCAGAAGGGTGTTCAGTGTGACCTCTGGATGACCTCTGAAGGTGTTCATGTGACCTCTGGATGAGTGTTCAGAAGTGTTCAGTGTGACCTCTGGATGAATGTTCAGAAGGTGTTCAGTGACCTGTGACCTTCTGGAAGGTGAATGTTCAGAATGAATGTTCAGAAGGTGTTCAATGTGACCTCTGGATGAATGTTCAGAAGGTGTTCAGTGTGACCTCTGGATGAATGTTCAGAAGGTGTTCAGTGTGACCTCTGGATGAATGTTCAGAAGGTGTTCAGTGTGACCTCTGGATGAATGTTCAGAAGGTGTTCAGTGTGACCTCTGGATGAGTGTTCAGAAGGTGTTCAATGTGACCTCTGGATGAGTGTTCAGAAGGTGTTCAGTGTGACCTCTGGATGAATGTTCAGAAGGTGTTCAGTGTGACCTCTGAGATGAATGTTCAGAAAGGTGTTCAGTGTGACCTCTGGATGAATGTTCAGAAGGTGTTCAGTGTGACCTCTGGATGAGTGTTCAGAAGGTGTTCAGTGTGACCTCTGGATGAATGTTCAGAAGGTGTTCAGTGTGACCTCTGGATGAGTGTTCAGAAGGTGTTCAATGTGACCTCTGGATGAGTGTTCAGAAGGTGTTCAATGTGACCTCTGGATGAGTGTTCAGAAGGTGTTCAGTGTGACCTCTGGATGAGTGTTCAGAAGGTGTTCAATGTGACCTCTGGATGAATGTTCAGAAGGTGTTCAGTGTGACCTCTGGATGAATGTTCAGAAGGTGTTCAATGTGACCTCTGGATGAGTGTTCAGAAGGTGTTCAGTGTGACCTCTGGATGAATGTTCAGAAGGTGTTCAGTGTGACCTCTGGATGAGTGTTCAGAAGGTGTTCAGTGTAGCCTGTGGATGAGTGTTGAGAAGGTGTTCATTGTGACCTCTGGATGAGTGTTCAGAAGGTGTTGAATGTGACCTCTCAATGAATGTTCAGAAGGTGTTCAGTGTGACCTCTTGGATGAATGTTCAGAAGGTGCTCAATGTGACCCCTGGATGAGTGTGTAGATTGATCAGTGAGAGATTTGCACGGGCAGGTTGACCTGGGGAATTACACAAAGACAGTACAGGTCAGCTTGACCCAGGGATCAAAATGTATAATCCGCACGTGATTCGGAACAAGTTCTCGTTTGATGTATTTCGTAGTATTTTTTCCCGATTTTGTCGTATTGACTTTCCTGAAACAGCGCTCAGTATTGGTAAGAACTGCTTCCTGGCAACCGATCTGACTCCCGTGATCGTTAATTGCAGTGTGTCTTCTGGACGCCCGGAATGTCATATACTTTGATTCTGTCAGGTCATGACTTTAACCAACATGTTTTACGTAAGACAGTTCAAAGCTCGGATATTTTTGCGTAAACCTTTTAAAATCTATCAGCTGTCAATGCTCAAACGGAATGTTGCTGCAGAGCCACTTGGGGTACTTAGCTAGTCAATATCAAAGCAACAGGGATTTGGACCGACAACAAAAAGAAAGTGATGTTTCGAAGACATAAAAACAAATTCTGCCAATGTTATCAAAGGTATCATCATTTCTTTTATGACACTGATTGTACTATCATCATTTCAGAACTCAGCCTATTGTAGATAGCTAACCAGTGTTTTGCTCCTAATTTCCCCCACCTTCCTCCCGAAATGTCACATTTGAGGGAATAAATAGTTTTTCTTTGCGTGAATAGCTTCTACAGCTCACTTCACTATACTTGATCGTGTTGAATGTTTCACCATAGCAGCTTTACCTGGAGACATTTGTAGTCAGCTGTGGTTAAGATGACGTTTTATATACTCTTTACCAAAACATTTGCTTACATCAAAGAATCGTGCAAAAACATCCCGATAATCCCAAAGTCATGATGCTTTGTGGCCAATTTTAAATACTCCGTGGCATCAGCGTCTCGTGGTTGAGAATGCCAAAGTGGTGTCTTTGGTGTGCAGACTTGGAGACCTAAGAAGCTGATGGGTATAATGCGGGTATAATGCTGATAGGTGTGACCTACGATCGCGGGTATACTGCTGATGGGTGTGACCTAAGATCACGGGTATAATGCCGATAGGTGTGACCTAAGATCACGGGTATAATGCCGATAGGTGTGACCTAAGATCACGGGTATAATGCTGATGGGTGTGACATAAGATCACGGACATAATGCCGATAGGTGTGACATAAGATCACGGGTATAATGCCGATAGGTGTGACATAAGATTACGGGTATAATGCCGATGGGTGTGACCTAAGATCACGGGTATAATGCCGATAGGTGTGACCAAAGATCACGGGCATAATGCCGATAGGTGTGACCTAAGATCACGGGTATAATGCTGATGGGTGTGACATAAGATCACGGGCATAATGCCGATATGTGTGACCTAAGATCACGGGTATAATGCCGATAGGTGTGACTTAAGATCACGGGCATAATGCCGATGGGTGTGACCTACAATCACGGGCATAATGCCGATAGGTGTGACATAAGATCACGGGCATAATGCCGATGGGTGTGACCTAAGATCACGGGCATAATGCCGATAGGTGTGACATAAGATCACGGGCATAATGCCGATGGGTCTGACCTAAGGTCACGGGTATAATGCCGATGGGTGTGACCTAAGATCACGGGCATAATGCTGACGTACTTGATATGGGTCCTATCTCTGGTGTAGGTCTGGTGTAGCTCTGGTGTATCTCTGGTGTAGCTTGCAGTCTTGCAGACTGAAGATTGCTTGTTGTTCAACTATTTACTGCTATAATATCTTGGCTGGACAAAAGAGTGGTTGGAAATAGGGTTCTGGGCAGATATTTTGATAGTGTCCCGAGGAACTGCAGCCAATTGAAACAGTTCACGCTCTGCAAAACCTGTACGAGTATTTTGGTCTGTGATAGGTCATGTCGCTATCATCCTTGGACAAGGCTTCATTCCTTCATTAACTGCTGGTCCAGCAACTCGGGCAAACTGGTTCCACTCGTGGTTTACGCGGCAGCATCATGGCTTTTACTTACAAGCTGCGGTTGAAATATGGAGTGCAAGTCTATACCATGGGTACGCATGCGTTGCGTCGTTAATTGCGGATTAGAAAAAGAGAGAAAAGTTTTCATGGGCGATAAAAATATATAGTTTCTCTGAAATTGGAACCAAGTCAATAATCGAAGGCGCCGTATTGAGTTCAAGGATCCGATGGCCCTGACGTCGTATTGTTATACGATTACGCAGAGATTGTCGTAAATCATCTATTCAGACATATCTCCACCGGCTTCCCGGCAAAGAAAAAACACTGATTTCTAAATCCTATCATTACCCTACCAATGTGTAAACAGCCCAAGATTTATCCGTATAATAATATTCGCAAATATGCTAAGGACCGCTCCGCTCAGTCACAAAGATGGACTTGGAAATTTCCAAAACAAATATGAAGACATCTAGAATCGATTGGTGGCAGCTGGTCGATGGAATCCTTTGCCGCAAGATCTGAAGCTGACCTCCAGTCCTGAAAATTCAAACACCATTTCAATAGAGACGTTTTGGGATGTATTACAGTGTTAACATATTAGTATCTATCAAACGGAACTACCATCAGTTGGTGTAGGTGCACTGAGAGTACTCTATTCTGCCCCGTTTAGCGCTGTAGCCAAGCTGCAGTGTTATTGTTAATATTGTTATTGTTCAGATGTTTTTGTTGTCCTTGTTATGGTCTGGCCCAGCACGGGTGTCACTGCAGTCCCTGTTAAAACTGAAATACTTTGGAAAACAGCAACAGATTGAACTGATCAAGGGCTATAGAATTACAATGTTACTCTGGTACAGGTAGTGCCGCCATCAAAAATCTGAAGAACAATAGCTGCTTGTATGTGTTCGAACTGAAGTTCGTGTAACATCTCACAAACATCCACAGCTCCAATGACTTCTAAACGCCCATCAACACGGCTGGAATGTATACAAGCAGTGTAGCGTACATGCGTGTTGTTTCATTATACATCGAATTTAACAAATAACATGTACGAGAATGGTAGGCTGATGACGACTTTTAAAATCAATACCAACACCAACACCGACAAAGACACAAACACCAACACCGACAGCAACACCACCAACGCCCACACCCACACCCATACCAACAGCAACACCACCAACGCCCACCCACACCACACCAACACCACCAACGCCCACGCCCACACCAACACCCACACCCATACCAACAGCAACACCATCAACGCCCACACCCACACCCATACCAACAGCAACACCACCAACGCCCACACCCACACCAACAGCAACACCACCAACGCCCACGCCCACACCCATACCCATACCAACGGCAACACCATCAACGCCCACACCCATACCAACGGCAACACCACCAACTCCCACTCCTACACCCACACCAACACCAACACCACCAACGCCCACATCCACACCCACACCCATACCAACAGCAACACCACCAACGCCCTCACCCACACCCATACCAACGGCAACACCACCAACGCCCACACCCATACCAACGGCAACACCACCAACTCCCACTCCTACACCCACACCAACAGCAACACCACCAACGCCCACATCCACACCCACACCCATACCAACAGCAACACCACCAACGCCCACACCCATACCAACAGCAACACCACCAACGCCCACACCCATACCAACGGCAACACCACCAACGCCCACTCATACACCCACACCAACAGCAACACCACCAACGCCCACATCCACACCCACACCCATACCAACAGCAACACCACCAACGCCCACACCAACACCTACACCACTAACGCCCACTACACATACAACACCCACACGAACACCAACAGCAACACCACCAACGCCCACACTCACACCAACAGCAAAACCACCAACGCCCACATCCACACCCACACCCATACCAACAGCAACACCACCAACGCCCACACCAACACCTACACCACTAACGCCCACTACACATACAACACCCACACGAACACCAACAGCAACACCACCAACGCCCACACTCACACCAACAGCAAAACCACCAACGCCCACATCCACACCCACACCCATACCAACAGCAACACCACCAACGCCCACACCCACACCAACAGCTACACCACTAACGCCCACACCAACAGCAACACCACCAACGCCCACACCCACACCCATACCAACAGCAACACCACCAACGCCCACACCCACACCCACACCAACAGGTACACCACCAACGCCCACACGAACACCAACAACAACACCACCAACGCCCACAACCGCACCAACAGCAACACCACCAACGCCAATTACACTTACAACACCCACACCAACAGCAACACCACCAACGCCCACTACACATACAACACCCACACCAACAGCAACACCACCAACGCCCACTACACATACAACACCCACGGCAACACCCACAACACCCACAACACCAACACCGACACCAGCGACAACACCAGCATCAACATCAGTGTGAATTCAATTCCAGCCCCTTAACACGTGGACACAAGTCCCACCATCCATGAAAGGCATCAGAACTTCGATTTCATAATCGGCCGAAAACAACTAAACAAGATTGGCGCATTTGTTCTTTATATATGTTTACAATTATTTGTGATTCTCGTTATGCAAGAACGCATCATTTCTCTCATTACTTGTACGGTAATGTCAGCCCTTGTTTAGTTTCCCCATCCAACCATGTAACTCTCAGCGTGAACTGAAACTCCCCATCTAACTGAGGCAGCAGGAGCAGACACTACCGGGTTTGTGATTGATTGATTGATATATACAATCGATACCGTTTGTTTGAAGTCAATACTTGATATGGCTTGTAGGAATTAACAAGGAACTAAATATTTGCGCAATTCCGTGAGTCAACCCTACCCTTCAACTTAAAATCTCTGTTTGAAAAACACCTTTACGTTTGAGGCGTATTTCAACATCCGCGATCCAGAGCTGCAGCAATCTAGTAGAACCGAACAGTAAATGTCACAAGACATTAATCTCGGGAACAGTCCTCAGAGATATTTAACAACATATTTACATTAATTTCAAGAAGGTATTTTTTATAAACTGTACAACCTTACATTTATGACCGTATCCATTTCGCGTTAGTGTTTATATAAGCATGTATGTATGCGCGGTGTATTGTCATAGTAATCGATATCTTCTCCACTCAATTACCAAAACGACAACTTCCAGGCCATGTAAAAACTGCTGTATCTTTCCAATTTAACCTCTTCAAAGTTTTCCGGAAGAAAAAAGAGATCAAAGCCGCGGAGAATGCCCGTTCGTCGACGTTTGTACAAATTAAGTTTGTATGTGAATCTACGGGACGCTTTCAAAGGGTGATCAGTCGCTTAACAGATATAGCTTTAGCGCTTTCAAGGGGGATGGCAGACGTTCGGCAGGGGGTTATTTGCCTATGTTGCCAAGAGACACAGCCATTCCTTTCATCACATAATGGTCTCAACCTAGCGATAATTTAAAATGTTTTCCGACATGTATGGACGAAGGGCTATATGTTCTACTGGGGAAACTGTGACGAATACGCTGGTCGGGTCGTGATCTGAAGACAGTAAATATCCGGGAAATATCGATGTATGGACTTGTAAATTGAACCGAGTTATTTACTACAGCAAGTGTAAAAGTCACGTAGTCTAAATCTTGATAAAAACCGCAAACAGTGACAGTGGGGTGCATGTTTATTATTATTTAATGGGATTTAAATAAACCATTATTTACAAAAGGCACTTCAAGTACGTAGGCAGTGAAAAAGACACAACATCGTAAGTTACATTCGCAGCGAGCAAAGCGGGAAGCGTCTTGTTTGAAAAAACAACAGATTTACACGCATTGCACGCGACCTTCGGTTCATCTTTGTTGACATCATTCCTGGTGTATGATGGAGGCCGGGAAATAATCCAGTGGTTGATGTCATGAAAACTCTCCCAAACCGCCGGGGTATGCTGACACGCAAACACCGAATACAAATCATCATATTTTTGCGGTTTGGCGATAGGCTTGCAGTGGAGGTTTACCGGTTGACCGAAATACGGTACTTCACTGTACGTACTGTATGGAAATACAGTACTTCACCGTACGTACTCTATGTAAATGCAGAACTTCACTGTACGTACTATATACAAATACGGTACTTCACTGTACACTATATATATACTGTAAGCCATTAAAAACGCAATTTGACATTCATACTTTCTTTACTCACACCAATTTCAACATATATAAACCTAACTGGCAGATATGTTTTAAGTGAACATCTGTGAATAATTTCATCTGAAAATGTCCAGTCAATAACAACATCAGTGACACAACAACGACATCAAACAAAGGAGGGGTCACTTGCAGTCAATATCGTGTGTGTCCACCGTGCGCTGCAAGACATGCTCGCAGTCTTTGGGGCAGTGAAAAACACACATTTCTCAGGAACAGCTATTGGATGGTCTGCAGCCTCTGATAGTCTGTAGTCTGATCATGACACCACCCCCTCCAAAACGATCATGTTCAAGGACACAGTTTGGCGCAAGTCTTTCTCCTTTACGTCGATAAATCTGTGGACGTCCATCTGCAAAGGATAAGTTAAACCTGGATTCATCTGACAAAATGACATCTGGCCATGTCCTGTTGCCAAGATTGGCCCCATTTGCTGCCCATCGCTGTCTGGCATGTCTGTGGCGATGCAATAAGGTTGGACCACGGTACGGGTGACGACATCGGATGTTGAAGGCAGCAAGGCGTCCTTTCACCTTTTGGGCGCTGAAATGACGTTGACTTGTCCCAATTGTCCTCCTTGCCTCATCATCAGCTGTTTAGAACCGATTTCGCAAGTGTGAAACTCGGATATTGCTGTTATCACAGGTGGTGCACCAGCTCGCGGACGATCAGCAACTCTTCCGGTAGCCCGAAAACGTTGTCTGAGTCGACTTACAGTGGATGGATGCACATTAAAGTGCCTGGCAATCATCACATCTGAAGCACCTTGGCTGACCATACCTATAACCTGATTCCTTTCGTCTTGTGTCAAGTGTGGCATTTTCTCAAAGTGATTGAGTTCCACAATTCCTTGTGCTTTTGCAGGGCCTGGGTGCAGGTAATGCATGTGGACAACGTGTTTCATGAATGTGGTTTTGTTTACGAGAAATGTCAAAGGTTCAGTTTTAAGTATCAAAGTTCATGTGAGAGGAATGCTCCGGGACTCGAACTCGAAATGGACCAGAATAACAGCCTTTTATCCCTACATCCTCTGTATCGCAAGCAAAAATCTTCAATAGAACTTTTGTGAGTTTCAGGACAACAAATACCAATTGCGTTTTTAATGGCTTACAGTATATGTAAATACTGAATTTCACTTTACGTACTGTATGTAAATGCGGTACTTCACCGTACGTACTGTATGTAAATACGGTACTTCACCGTACGTACTGTATGTAAATGCGGTACTCACCGTACGTACTGTATGTAAATGCGGTACTTCACTGTACATGCTGTATGTAAATACGGTACTTCACTGTATGCACTGTATGTAAATGCGGTACTTCACTGTATGTAAATGCGGTACTTCCCTGTATGCACTGTATGTAAATGCGGTACTTCACTGTATGTAAATGCGGTACTTCACTGTATGTAAATGCGGTACTCACCGTACGTACTGTATGTAAATGCGGTACTCACTGTACATGCTGTATGTAAATGCGGTACTTACTCACTGTATGTAAATGCGGTACTTCACTGTACGTGTTGTATGTAAATGCGGTACTTCACTGTATGTAAATACGGTACTTCACTGTATGTAAATGCGGTACTTCACTGTATGTAAATGCGGTACTTCACTGTACGTGTTGTATGTAAATGCGGTACTTCACTGTATGTAAATACGGTACTTCACTGTATGTAAATGCGGTACTTCACTGTATGTAAATGCGGTACTCACCGTACGTACTGTATGTAAATGCGGTACTCACTGTACATGCTGTATGTAAATGCGGTACTTCACTGTACATGCTGTATGTAAATGCGGTACTTCACTGTATGTAAATGCAGTACTTCACTGTACATGCTGTATGTAAATGCGGTACTTCACTGTACGAAGTGTATGTAAATGCGGTACTTCACTGTACATGCTGTATGTAAATGCGGTACTCACTGTACGAAGTGTATGTAAATGCGGTACTTCACTGTACATGCTGTATGTAAATGCAGTACTTCAGTGTACGAAGTGTATGTAAATGCGGTACTTCACTGTACATGCTGTATGTAAATGCGGTACTTCACTGTACGAAGTGTATGTAAATGCAGTACTTCACTGTACATGCTGTATGTAAATACGGTATTTCACTGTACGAAGTGTATGTAACTGCTGTACTTCACTGTACATGCTGTATGTAAATGCGGTACTCACTATACATGCTGTATGTAAATGCAGTACTTCACTGTACATGAAGTATGTAAATGCGGTACTTCACTGTATGTAAATGCGGTACTCACTGTACGAAGTGTATGTAAATGCGGTAAATCACTGTACATGCTGTATGTAAATGCTGTACTTCACTGTACATGATGTATGTAAATGCGGTACTTCACTGTATGTAAATGCGGTACTCACTGTACATGCTGTATGTAAATGCGGTACTTCACTGTATGTAAATGCGTACTTCACTGTACATGCTGTATGTAAATGCGGTACTTCACTGTACATGCTGTATGTAAATGCGGTACTTCACTGTATGTAAATGCGGTACTTCACTGTACATACTGTATGTAAATGCGGTACTCACTGTACATACTGTATGTAAATGCGGTACTTCACTGTATGTAAATGCGGTACTCACTGTACATACTGTATGTAAATGCGGTACTCACTGCACATGCTGTATGTAAATGCAGTACTTCACTGTACATGCTGTATGTAAATGCGGTACTTCACTGTACATACTGTATGTAAATGCGGTACTCACTGTACATGCAGTATGTAAATGCGGTACTCACTGTACATACTGTATGTAAATGCGGTACTCACTGTACATGCTGTATGTAAATGCGGTACTTCACTGTACATACTGTATGTAAATGCGGTACTCACTGTACATGCAGTATGTAAATGCGGTACTCACTGTACGTACTGTATGTAAATGCAGTACTTCACTGTACATGCTGTATGTAAATGCGGTACTTCACTGTACATACTGTATGTAAATGCGGTACACACTGTACATGCAGTATGTAAATGCGGTACTCACTGTACATACTGTATGTAAATGCGGTACTCACTGTACATGCTGTATGTAAATGCTGTACTTCACTGTACATACTGTATGTAAATGCGGTACTCACTGTACATGCAGTATGTAAATGCGGTACTCACTGTACGTACTGTATGTAAATGCGGTACTCACTGTACATGCTGTATGTAAATGCGGTACTTCACTGTACGAAGTGTATGTAAATGC